TGGAGAGGTCCACTGAGGGAAGAATGAGGAGTATTTATCTGCCTGCTTCCCATCTATTTCCCACTTCCCACTGGTCATTGTTCAGCCTGTGAGGTGAAAACCTTTCTAAACTAGTGGATTGCAAAAATCTAGCCTCTTGATGGCCACTCAAGAAGCCAGATCCCACACTCTGAGATTCAGCATCCTTCCAAGCTCAGAAATGGAGGAGTGTCCCAAGCCACATGGGGTACCAAGAGATAATAAAGGAGGTGGTAAGTGGTCTCTGAGCTGGTGCACAAGGTTTATATCCAATACAGGTGGGTAGTCACTAGCCAAAATGGTACATTAATTATTACAGCTTAGTTAGTGCTTAGGAAGTTCTATATAAACTATTACGGGCTTCCAAGTTCTGATAGCTGATGTCATATTCTTATCTGTGGCAAGGACACTGGCCATCAGAACAGCTGAATATTATTTGGTTGAGAGTCAGTGTGACTCACTTAGAAGAATGTTAGTTATGGTAGCCTCTCTTACAGTTAAGTTTACTGCAGGTGTTCCATATTTTGTCTCTACTTGTTCTAAATACTTAAAACATTCACTGAATGTAAAGTAATGCCACAAAACATATTCTTTTAAAAACTGGCAGAAGATACTTGATCATGTGTGCTGGATATGAGCTCTCATATAACTGGCAAACCCTATCACATGGCCTGGTTTGTCTTGAGGCACTAAATATGCCTAGGGCTCAATGAGAATAGATGGTTCTGGGTTGTTGCACACCTCCAAAGCTCTCCTTCCAGGGTGGGTAGGATAGGAATTGCCACTGCAGCTTGCAGACCCAAGTCCACAGTGTGCCATGAGTGGGACTTTAACCTTTCCACCATCTGGACTCTTGGGTGGCCCTGGAAGGTTGACTCTCATAGGAGAAGTTACCTCAGCCAGAACTTACAATGGGAGAAACAAAAACTTATATACAACATGGGTAGGTGCACCACTCCCAAAAAACAACCTGAATTTTATGATATGACTCTGAATTTTGGACCCTTTTGTGACTTACTTTGAAGGCATTGAAATCTTAAAAACTGAGTAACAGGACAAAAAATATCACTTTGGCTACTCGTGGAAAATGGATTGACCACAAAACATCTAAATGAAAGAAAAAAAGAACAGAGTTAAATTCCAAGACAAGTAAATATATTGGACCTTGATGATTTTAATGGACCTTTAATTCCTAAATTCCCATGTGTTGCTACATAATTTCTTCCAATAATGCAGAAAAATAAAACGAAAAATCAATCTCCCCTCAAATCTTTTAATGAAAAGTAACTCTAGTTACAAAGAGTTAAGGTTAAATTTAGATGTGGATGCTGGGTGACTGGTAAAGCTTATCTGCTTATATTTTCATTTTCTGAAATTCCCTGTTACTTTTTCATGTCTACTTGTTCTTGTTTCATTTTTACCAGCTTTGTTTCACAAATTATTTCTCTTTTATTGATATTATTCCTTCATCTTTAGAATATTAAACCTATTTACATTCATTTTTAAAATATTGTTCTGATACATCCATTTTGTCTGAAGTGATTCATCTGCTGAGCATTTGACTTTGTTGGCTTCTTTGTTAGCATTGATTTTCTTCATTGATTTTAAAGTTTGGTTTCCAGTTTGTCTTGAGTGGGGAGTTTCTCTCTCCCTCCGTGAGCCTTACCCACAACTTTACTTTTTGTCTAGTGATTTTTAAAAATGTTTTACTTGGGGCGCCTGGGTGGCGCAGTCGGTTAAGCGTCCGACTTCAGCCGAGTCCACTGATCTCATGATCGTGAGTTGAGCCCGTGTTGAACTCTGGGCTGGTGGCTGGGACCTGGAGCCTCATTTCGATTCTGTGTCTCCTACTCTCTGCCCCTCCCCCGTTCATGCTCTGTCTCTCTCTCTCTCCCAAAAATAAATAAAAACGTTGAAAAAAAAATTAAAAAAAAAATGTTTTACTTAAGGGGCACCTGGTTGGCTCAGTTCGTTAAGCATCTGACTTTGGCTCAAGTCATGATCTTGTGGCTGATGGTTTGAGCCCCAGGTCAGGCTCTGTGCTGACAGCTCAGAGCCTGGGGCCTGCTTCAGAATCTGTGTCTCCTTCTCTCTCCACCCCTCCCCTGCTCATGCTCTGTCTCTCAAAAATGAATAAACCTTACAAAAAATCTTAAGTTTTGTTTGTTTGTTTGTTTGTTTGTTTGTTTAAATGTTTATTTATTTTTGAGAGAGAGTGCAAACTGGGGAAGGTTGGAGAAAGAGGGGAACAGAGGATCTGAAGAGGGCTCCATGTTGACATCAGTGAGCCCAATGTGGGGCTTGAACTCACAAACTGTAAGATCATGACCTGAGCCAAAGTCAGATGCTCAACTGGCTGAGCCACACAGGCAACCCTCTAGTGATTTTCAAAGTTCCTGCACCTCACTCTGGAGAGCCCAGTCCAGAGCTAGGCCTTATAATAGGGACTTAGGGCTTCTGTTCTTCAGTAACATTGGGAACATATCCCACCCACCCTGTCACTGAGCCTGACAGCAAGTGAGTTCAGGTTCTGGCCACAAGACTTCATTTCAGCTATGACTCTGGGAAGAGTGTGATAGCAGCATTAAAATTTTTATTTTTAATTTTGAAATAACTTATACTGTGGTTTGGAGAGTTTCCAGAGTTTTCATGGTGAACATGTGGAGATATGGGGACAGTGACATGCTCAGAGAGCATGGAAACTCTACACTTTTTTCCTATTTATCTCTTCCATCTGGCTATTCCTGTGTTGTGTACTTTTAAAATAAACTGGTGATCTACAAAGAAGAAAGAGGAGGAGGAGAAGGAGGAGTAGAAGGAAGAAGAAGAAAGAAGAAAGAAAGAAGAAGGAAGAATGATGGAAGGAAGGAAGGAAGGAAGAGGAGGAGGAGAAGGAAAAGGAGGAGGAGGAAGAGGAGGAGGAGGAAGAGGCTGAAGAGGAGGAGGAGGAGTCTTATAGAAAAGTTCAGGGGCGCCTGGGTGGCGCAGTTGGTTAAGCGTCCGAC